GCTGTCCTCTGAAGATGCCGGCCACAGAGACTGGCGAAACGTTAGGAAGAACAACCTTCAGAACACGGCCAAAGAGCCTGAAAAACCCACAACAACCATTTTTGTAAATTATTTGCTCATTTTTGTCACCCTGCGAAATCTTAAGAAGCTGGGATATAAAATGTTACAGAGTTTTGAATTTTTGGTTAAATTCCTCGCTGAACAGCAGAAGTGCAAGGATTCACTGAGCAGGAATAGCTTCAAGTTTCCCACAGTAGCTCACCCCTTTTCTCATTAACTGGCACTTGCGGTCTCGCTCGGAGACATTTATGAGAAGAAAGAATAAAAGATTTTATTACTTACAGTTGGAACAGATTGAACTGCAAACTGACAAACATGGTTGCTTTCAGCAACAGACTTCAGTAGCCTAGCATGGGAAAAAGCTCGAAATCAAAGCGGCAGGGCTCTCTTTGAATTCAGAGGCAGAGAAGGACGGTTTAGTGCTGGATAGATTGACCATCGCCCCAGCCCAGAAAGGTCCCTCCCAGCCACGCCTACTAAAGGGAGCCTGCGAGGTTGTAAAAACTCTTAAGACAAAATTCCCAGCATTGGCATCTCTTATGTGCTGGTGAGCTTGGAAGATAACAGGTGTTATAGCCAAACAAGTGTGGGTGCTAGATTGCACTTTTTTTTTTGCATTTAGGATTGTTGATTTTAGCCTAACCTCTGATAGTGATGAGATAGATGTTGATGATCCTTTCCTTTCCTAGGATCCTGTCGTTCTGGCCTTTGATATTGAGACCACCAAGCTTCCTTTGAAATTTCCTGATGCAGAAACGGACCAGATCATGATGATCTCCTACATGATTGACGGCCAGGTAGTTGGGGTGGTGGCCTCCATGGCTCAAGCCAAGCAAAGCAAAGCATGCTGCTTATATAATGCCCCATAGCGCTTAAAGCACTCTCTGAGCAGTTTACAATTTAATTGTGCAGGCTACATATGGCTGAGAGAAGGGGGGGGGGACACGAGGACAAACTCATCAGTGCATCCTTCATGTCCCCAAATGTGTGGGGCCTAAAACAAAGGCAGTAAAGCGACTGAAGATAGAGGAAGGCTCATCCTTGCTCACCCACCAAAGAAAGAGAGCTGGTGAATTGGTCAAGAAGAGGAAGGGGCTCATGCAAGTCACCTGGCATGCTAGTAAACAAGCAGTTCCTCCTCTCCGGTGATCGTGCCTGAATCCACCTATTGAATGGCTAACAATTCCCAACAGTTTTCACTGCGACAGAGAGATGAGTCAGGCAATGAGGATGCTCCTGCCTGTGTCGTAGAGAAGAGATAGGAAGGGAGGATACAGAATGACACACACCCCCTCTCAAGGAAATCATGCATTTGAGGGCCGTGGTTTGCCTAGGTAGAGGGGGCTGAAATCGGATGTTTCTTGACTGCTCTGAGTTCCTCTCTCCTGGCCCAAGTGCACGGCCTGCTTGTATGCTGTGCCAGTTCATTTCGTGCCCAGCTCCGCCTAGCTTGCCTTCTCCGTTGTTGTCCTCCTCCTCCTTCTAGAATGAGGGCAGGAGCATTCCAAGGCAGCTGGAGTCGGTTGAGCAGGGCAGTTCCACCATGAGACGAGACTAGGGAAGGCAGAGACGTGGGATGCCTCGCGCTGCATTTAGTAGCCTCTTAAGAGAATCGTCAGAGGGTAAGGCAACGTCTTGTCTGCAGCTCGTTTCTTCGGTCAAATGTCCCTTTTTTCTTCTGACCGGACAGGGTTACTTGATTACAAACAGGGAGATCGTCTCAGAAGACATTGAAGATTTCGAGTTTACTCCCAAACCAGAATACGAAGGTCCCTTTTGTGTCTTTAATGAACCAGATGAGGTAAGCCCACTTCGTTTGGGAAAGTAACGGGTCTAGATAACCGCCGTTCCCTTTTCTTCTTTTCCCTTAAGCCGCAAGCCATCAAAACCAGTCGTGGTTCTGGAAACAAAGAATGCAGTGCGTTACCTCTGGGGAACGACCTGCCGCTTTAGAACCACAGGGTATCCCTTGTTCTAATGTCTTTCTCAGCATTCAGTCCAGGCCTCTGGGGAAGCCGTCTGCCTCTTTCCCAGCAGCCGACCAGATGGAGAGGAAAGAAAGAGGAGGAATGGCACAGAGAAAGGGAGAGGGAGGGTAGCCGTGTTTTTGCTTTTTTGGGCTCAAGTCCTGTCCATTCGTGGTTTCAGCCCCGCCGTCTGTTACGTAGCTTCAGAGGCCATAACATGGCTTTCAAGCTGTTCAAGGTGTGGTTTGTCTTTGCCACTGGCCAGTGAGTTTTCATGGTGGGATGGAGATTTGAACCCAGGTCTCCTGAGTCCTAGTCCAACACTAGTCCACTCCACCACACTGGCTCTCAAATTAATATTAGTGTGTAATGAATCATCAGGAACCTGGAGTTGTCTGCACTGGGCTTTCAGCCACCTGAGTAAGAAGGGAATTCTTTCTATTTAGGCCTCTGCCGCTTGTATCCCCAGTAACTGTTGCAGCCACATCATTTTCAGGTGACGTATTTTCAGATGACCTAGCAAAAACATTCTTCAAAAATAACAGTTATCTGTGTCAGAGAAGAAATAAAAGAGAAAGCTCACACAGATATATGCATCAACCCTTTACTGAATGCAGAATTGGGGAGATTGGTTTCTGTTTTGGCATAGAGTGTAGACATGGTCTGTGGGCTAGGAGAGTAGCTGGTCACCTAGAGGGAATTGTACTAGTCTGTCGTTCACTGAATACAGTTTGACCACCATATCTACGGGTTCCACTTATCCGCTGCCTAAAAATATTAAGGCTCAGAAATCTGCAGTTCCAAGGTCTTATGGCCAGAACTGGCTACTAGAGGAAACCAGATATTATCTGATGCAGAAACGGACCAGATCATGATGATCTCCTACATGATTGACGGCCAGGTAGTTGGGGTGGTGGCCTCCATGGCTCAAGCCAAGCAAAGCAAAGCATGCTGCTTATATAATGCCCCATAGCGCTTAAAGCACTCTCTGAGCAGTTTACAATTTAATTGTGCAGGCTACATATGGCTGAGAGAAGGGGGGGGGGACACGAGGACAAACTCATCAGTGCATCCTTCGTGTCCCCAAATGTGTGGGGCCTAAAACAAAGGCAGTAAAGCGACTGAAGATAGAGGAAGGCTCATCCTTGCTCACCCACCAAAGAAAGAGAGCTGGTGAATTGGTCAAGAAGAGGAAGGGGCTCATGCAAGTCACCTGGCATGCTAATAAACAAGCAGTTCCTCCTCTCCGGTGATCGTGCCTGAATCCACCTATTGAATGGCTAACAATTCCCAACAGTTTTCACTGCGACAGAGAGATGAGTCAGGCAATGAGGATGCTCCTGCCTGTGTCGTAGAGAAGAGATAGGAAGGGAGGATACAGAATGACACACACCCCCTCTCAAGGAAATCATGCATTTGAGGGCCGTGGTTTGCCTAGGTAGAGGGGGCTGAAATCGGATGTTTCTTGACTGCTCTGAGTTCCTCTCTCCTGGCCCAAGTGCACGGCCTGCTTGTATGCTGTGCCAGTTCATTTCGTGCCCAGCTCCGCCTAGCTTGCCTTCTCCTTTGTTGCCCTCCTCCTCGTTCTAGAATGAGGGCAGGAGCATTCCAAGGCAGCTGGAGTCGGTTGAGCAGGGCAGTTCCACCATGAGACGAGACTAGGGAAGGCAGAGACGTGGGATGCCTCGCGCTGCATTTAGTAGCCTCTTAAGAGAATCGTCAGAGGGTAAGGCAACGTCTTGTCTGCAGCTCGTTTCTTCGGTCAAATGTCCCTTTTTTCTTCTGACCGGACAGGGTTACTTGATTACAAACAGGGAGATCGTCTCAGAAGACATTGAAGATTTCGAGTTTACTCCCAAACCAGAATACGAAGGTCCCTTTTGTGTCTTTAATGAACCAGATGAGGTAAGCCCACTTCGTTTGGGAAAGTAACGGGTCTAGATAACCGCCGTTCCCTTTTCTTCTTTTCCCTTAAGCCGCAAGCCATCAAAACCAGTCGTGGTTCTGGAAACAAAGAATGCAGTGCGTTACCTCTGGGGAACGACCTGCCGCTTTAGAACCACAGGGTATCCCTTGTTCTAATGTCTTTCTCAGCATTCAGTCCAGGCCTCTGGGGAAGCCGTCTGCCTCTTTCCCAGCAGCCGACCAGATGGAGAGGAAAGAAAGAGGAGGAATGGCAGGGAGAGAAAGGGAGAGGAAGGGTAGCCCGTGTTTTTGCTTTTTTGGGCTCGAGTCCTGTCCATTCGTGGTTTCAGCCCCGCCGTCTGTTATGTAGCTTCAGAGGCCATAACATGGCTTTCGAGCTCTATGAGATGTTCAAGACGTGGTTTGTCTTTGCCACTGGCCAGTGAGTTTTCATGGTGGGACGGAAATTTGAACCCAGGTCTCCTGAGTCCTAGTCCAACACTGTCCACTCCACCACACTGACTCTCAAATTAATGTTAGTGTGTAATGAATCATCAGGAACCTGGAGTTGTCTGCACTGGGCTTTCAGCCACCTGAGTAAGAAGGGAATTCTTTCTATTTAGGCCTCTGCCCTCTGCCGCTCCCCGATAACCGTTGCAACCGCATAATTTTCAAGTGACATGGCATTTTCAGACGACCTAGCAAAAGCATTCTTCAAAAATAACAGTTATCTGTGTCAGAGAAGAAATAAAAGAGAAAGCTCACACAGATAAATGCATCAACCCTTTACTGAATGCAGAATTGGGGAGATTGGTTTCTGTTTTGGCATAGAGTGTACACATGGTCTCTGGGCTAGTCACATGGTAGCTGATCACCTAGAGGGAATTGTACTAGTCTGTCGTTCACTGAATACAGTTTGACCACCATATCTACGGGTTCCACTTATCCGCTGCCTAAAAATATTAAGGCTCAGAAATCTGCAGTTCCAAGGTCTTATGGCCAGAACTGGCTACTAGAGGAAACCAGATATTATGCCATATATATGGTTTTTATGTCTGTGCTGTCCAGCATCTGTTGCGGGTGGGTGGGGGCTTGGAACTGATCCCCCCCAAGATCCTGTAGTCCTACCGTGTTCTAGTTTTATATGCACTGCTTCTCTCCTTGTAAAACCAGGCCCATCTTCTCCAGCGGTGGTTTGAACATGTTCAAGAAACCAAGCCGACTATCATGGTGACCTATAACGGAGACTTCTTTGACTGGTGAGAATTGGAGTGACCTCCATTCTTGAGATTACAGTCTAGACCAGCCATTCCCCGTGGGGGCCATATGGCTGCCTCCCCCGCCCCGCCCAGCACATTTGAAGGGAGCCACAGACAAGAAACAATTCTTCACATGCCATCTTACAAGGTTTGTTGTGCAACTTATACAGTCCTGATTCACCCTGTATTTCACAGAGAGAGAGGATAAACCCTTTAAATCCAGAGGAGTCCCTACCCAAAGCCATCGTGCAGAAAAATTCAGAAATACAAGCTAAAAGCTAGTTCATCATGGCTGGAATTGTAGCACATTCATGCCTAGGTGGAGTCCCATCTGGGCAAATATAACATCTCGGCAAAAGAGGGTTGTGGCTCAAGAAAACCACTAACTAATGCAGTGGATTCCTTGAGCTGCACCCCTCTCTTTTGCCGAGGGACAAAAACATCTTTGGGAAGGCGGAGGACAAGAGAAATTGTGCTGACAGCTCATGAAGGAGCAAGCAAGGCTCCGTCATCTTGCGTGGTCTATCCCAGGTGTAGGCGTGACAGCTGGGAACCTGAAACGGATGTTTTCTTGCGTGTCCCGTGAGCTTGTTTTTTGTTCTGGAATGTTGGTTGCCATTCCTAAAGCATAAGAAATTAAACATCCTTCTGTTTCTTGTGGCTTCCTCGCTCTTCCTCGGTCTCCAGGCCCTTTGTGGAAGCCCGGGCGGCGGTTCATGGACTGAATATGCAGCAAGAGATTGGATTCCAGAAGGACAGCCAAGGGGAATACAAGTCCTCCCAGTGCATCCACATGGATTGTCTCAGGTAGGAGATGCCTGCCCTTGCATCCCTCCCGAATTCCACCTGATAGAGAGGGCGGGGTGGGAAGAGTCAGGTAGTAGTCCACGCCCTGGCCATCATCTCCCTACAACAGGTAACCCACGATGGGAGGAGTATCATGCCGACTCTGATATCCTCTCGCTTAGTAGGAGTCTTCTGTGGCACAATGGTTAAACTGCAGTACTGCACCCAAAGCTCTGCTCAAAACTCAGGTTCAATCCCAGGTGGACAGCTTGAGGTTCACTTAGCCTTCCATCCTTTCAAGGCTGACAGATTGGGTACCCAGCTCATTGCAGGAGGGCAGACATGTAGCCTGCATAACTGAATAATAATCTGCCCAAAAAGTGCTTTAAGCGTTATGGGGCAGCATATACGCAGCTTTTGGTTTTTTGCTTTAGTATCATAGAAGCATGTTCTTCAGCCATACAGGGGGCCTTTGATAGACTACGTGGGACGAGGGAAGACAGCAAAGATTCTCCGTAGTTAGGAAGTCTGAAGCGTGCTGGCCTCGCCTGACACCTCCAAGTTCCATTCCAAATTAAGCTTGCTTGCCTGCTTCCTGTTTCTCTATAGATAACTGTGCTTTCGCGTGTATTTATTATTTTATGTACAGTAGAATCCCCATATCAGTGGAGGATCTGTTCCAAGACGTCTGCGGATGCTGAAAAGCATGGATAATAGCAAAGTCTTATTTTCATAGTGAACAATATATATTAATGTGTTCTCTGGCTTCCTCTAGTATCCAGATCTGGCAACTTCAGCTTTAGAATATTTGTGCGATTTTTCTGTTCATATTATTAATATTTTCAGACTGTATATAGAGGAACCAGTGGATACTGGTTTCGTGGATAAGCGGCTCCCACTCTATTTCTCTGCTGCTGACTTAGCCTCCAACACTATTCTAAGCGACTTGCACATTAAAAACAAGCCCTACCTGAGTGGTTTGGATGCTGTGGTTTCCGTCGGCAGGTGGGTCAAGAGAGACAGTTACCTCCCGGTGGGAAGCCACAACCTGAAGGCAGCGGCCAAAGCAAAGCTGGGCTACGACCCCGTGGAGCTGGACCCTGAAGAGATGTGCCGGATGGCTACGGAGGAGCCTCAGGTGATGATTCTGCCCCGTGGCATTGGCCAGTGTTGAGGAGCAGGGGGGAGGCCTCGGCAAACGGCCCTGTTCCCATGCAGAAGGGGAGGCTCCCTTTACCCCCAACAAGCCCAGTGGGCTTTCTGGCCAGGCTGTCGCCTTCGCCCAGGTGTCCTGGGCATGCAGACTGGAATCACTGTGCCTTGGGGGCTCCCCAAAGGAGAAAGGTGGCATTTGATGAGTTGTGAGGCCCCTCTGTGCAGCTTTCGTTGAAACTTGAATGGAAACAGCTCTGTCGTGACAGCCCAGTTGGGAAACCGCAAGTCTTCTCCCGGGGGAATTCTTGTGACTCACACGTCCTGTCCCTTGGCTTCACTGGCCAAAATCCTGTTGCGTACTGTGAGCAAAGGATCAAGTTTTGGTCCATTCCTCACTTGTCGTAAAGAGCCCCTACTGTGATTTCCAGGAGCCTACAAACACACCCCGCTCCAGCATGCGCAGGTGCCCCCCATAATCACGGCAGGGCCTCTTCGTTTACTGGTTTTATTTACCGGCACAGAAAATACAAAAATTTCAACTGTACTGATGTAACGCAACAGGATTTCAGCCAGTTAATAATAACGATGCTTGGTGGACGAGATGTGAGACCCTGTCCAGAACCCAGAGCATCTGGATTTGTGCACTGTGTTGCCCTTTGTGACTTGTGCACACATTTGTGGGGGGAAGGTTGTTAAATCTCAGACCAGCAAACCCCACCACCACCCCATTCAGGTGTGGAAGAACCACTCAGACCTTCCCCAGTCTGTGCTTTTGATAAGCAAGATTACCCGTCAGGTCTTGGGCCTTTCAGAGTGATGAGGAGGGTTGGTTATTCAGAATCCCTCCTTATCCAGATACACAGTGTGGGGGAGGGAAGTGGGTCTTTTTAACCCAAAGCCTTGACCTGGTTCCATTCTGCCGCTTCTCCCAGACTCTGGCCACCTATTCAGTGTCCGACGCCGTTGCCACCTATTACATGTACATGAAGTACGTCCACCCCTTCATCTTTGCCTTGTGCACCATCATTCCCATGGAGCCGGATGAGGTGAGTGTGTCTTGGGGCTTCAGCCCATGTTTGCCAGGATTAGCTCAAGCATCCCAATAGGAGGAGGACTCCAGCAAACCAAGTCTGGGCCCTTGGCTGCAGCAACCCCATCCAAACCTCCCGCCCTCTGTGAAGTTGCCCCTTTCCTTGCGGCAACGCCTGGTCCTGCCACCAGTGCCTCGAAGCCTCTAGTACGGGAACCTTTCCTAAACAAAAGCAGCGAAAGTTATAATATTCTGCACAGGGTGCGTGTATGATTATTAAAAAAGGGACTTCCAGGTTAACTCAAATGGACGGAAAATCCTGACAAGGTGCTTTGAGTCTTGCTCTGCTTTACAAAATAGTAAAGATTTGGGATTCAGAAAGATGGGGCTGCGAGACCTACAAATTTCCTACCTGTTTTTTAAGCTGGGACAGAACTCGGCAAGCTGAACCTCAGAGCTTACCTCAGAGCTGAGGCCTTTCTCCCTGTTAGATACGGCAGTATTAAAGTGATTCTTGCATACTACAACTAAGTAAAAATGGCAAATAAGCATGAGAGGTATAGATCCTGGGTGAAGCCCAATCCTTTTCCTTGTTTTTCTGTTTCTCCATGGCTAATAATCCAAGCTGTCGTTTCTCTGTTCCCGGCGTCTGAAAAACCTCCCTTACCTGATGCCATTGTAGCTCTAGCATTGATAGGC